TTTTGTTGTTGCGTTGATGGTGTTGTTGTTGTCATATGACACGGCTTTTGTTGTTGCGTTGATGGTGTTGTTGTTGCAATATGACACTGCTCTTGTGTTGTTGTTGATGTTGTTCAGTTGCTGTTCATGTTGTTGTTCTTGCTGTTCTTGACGCTATTATTGTTACGTTGTTATTAACTTTCATATATTGCAGGCCCAATTCTTCAAACTGCATGAGGAGGCTTGACAGAATGGGCTTAAAGGCTAGACAAAATGAGCTTGTAACTGACGATTCAGAAGGAGATAAGGAAGTTATATGGTGGTAACCTTCCTCTACGAGGCGATGATGATGGAACGGGAGGGGCTGGGCAGCCCGGGATTTGTTGACACCTTTGACATTTGACATTAACACTTTAATATTTAGTGTTTTTACAATATTATGAATTATGTTACACTTGCACGTGAAGTTTGTATCAATCTAGTTTTGAATTATCTATTTCGTATTGTAATCTTACTTAGAATTATGTGTGTGAAAAATTGAATGTGTTTTGCCCGCCATTTTAATAGCTACTGCCTAAAAACAATAAAAATCTGTGTGTGTGATCAGGTGATCTGCGAGGGCAAAATTTGTCGCTGTTTTTGTTGCAGATCTGCAACGGCTATTTCCGTCGATATGTCTGTCGCAAATCTGCCACGGATTTTCAATTCCGTCGCAGATTCTTGGGGTTGCAAAAAAAGACGAACCCGTTGCAGGTCCGTCGCAGATCTGCCACGGATTTTTAATTCCGTCGTAGATTTTAAATCTGCCACAACTTTTCTGCGACGGAACATTTTTGTTGCAGCTCCGTCGCAGAAGTTAAATCTGCCACGGAATTTCAAATTCTGCAACGGAAATTGTCCGTGGCAGATCAGCAGTTTTCTTGTAGTGGCAGCACTCATCTCACTGCCATGAAGAGGGTTTTTCGTTATCTTCATGGCACCGTCACTCATGGGATTACATTTCATCGCACCAATACTGACTCTCTACAGGCTTACTCGGACGCTGACTGGGCGGGCTGCCCAGACACTCGTCACTCCACTTTTAAGTATTGCATATTTAATTTCTTGGGGACATTCTCATCTATTGGTCCTCCAAGAGACAAGCTACCACATCCCGTTCTAGTGCTGAGGCGGAATACCGAGTCATTGCAAATGCAGTAGGCGAGACCAGTTGGATCCAAAATCTACTTCTAGAACTGCAGCAACCGCCACGCCACACCACACTGGTATTCAGTGATAATGTTAGTGCCGTTTATCTGTCTTCCAATCTTGTTCAGCATCAGCACACTAAACATATAGAGGTCGACATTCATTTTGTTAGAGACAAGGTTGAACTGGGACAAGTTCGTGTCCTTCATGTTCCGTCTTATTCTCAGTATGTTGATATCTTCACTAAAGGGTTATCATCGCTTCTCTTCTCCAATTTCATACACAGTCTTGGCATCCGCCCTTCCCCAGTTCCCTATTCGGGCGCATGTTAAATATATTACTCCCTCCGTCCCATATCTTTCTTCTCACTTTCCTTTTTAAGCCGTCCCACTTGATTCTTCCCGTTTCCTAAAATAGAATTAAAATTTATTTAAAGTTACTAATTTACCCTTCCATCCTTTATTCTTTTTTCTCTCCTCCACAACTCCTCTATCTTTTTTTCTTTGTTCTCGATCAGACCAACCACCCCACCATTCCCCTTTTTCTTCTTTTTTTTTTCTTTTCTTTTTCTTTCCTTCTTCTTCAGCCACCCCACCCCCCTAGCACACCTTCTTCTTCTTCTTTTCTTCTTCTTCTTCTTCAGCCTTTGTGTTCATCAGCACCCACCGTACCCCCACGGCCCCACCTCACATCTTCAGTTCGTCCTTTCACAGTGAAATGGTTTTAACTTCCTTTCGAATTTAGCAAGATCCAGCTAGAAAACCTACAGATCTGGCTCCCATCCATCTTCCTCGGACAAAGCTTTCACGAGGTGACGGCGGTAACGGAAGAGCTTTCAGGCGACGAGGTGATGGCAATCCCAACGACAATGGTGGATTGGAAATAGATCTCACCTCATCTCTTCAACTTTTTTTTCAATTTCATTAGATATTGATTTTGAGCCCAATCTCTTCAAAGACGGAGATGGCAATAATGGAGTGGGTGGGTTTGCAGAGGTGGGTGGGTTTTAGAATGAAACTTTGCAGGGGTGAGCTGGGGTTAGGAGGATAAAAAAACAAAAGGGCAAATGTGGAAAGTCAAAGCAATTTTAGCATTACATTAAAAACCGTGCCAAGTCAAACTGAGAAGTTTGAACTTGGACAGAGGGAGTATATATTTAATATATATATATATATATATATATATATATATATATATATATATATTACTCCCTCCGTCCCGGAGTATTTGTTCAGTTTTGACTTTTGGAACTGTTCATCTAAACACTTTGACTCATCAAATTCTCTAAATGTGTAAGCCTAAATATAGTCATGTGTGATCTTGTTTGATTTGTCTTAACATACAGATTATTAATATATAATTTCTATAATTTTTTAATATACAAATTACAAGATAAAATGAATTAAAGAAGTGTATTGGATGAAGTGTAAAAATGAAATTGGACAAATACTCTAGAACGAATGTAGTGTGTGTGTGTGTGTGTATATATATATATATATATATATATATATATATAGGGGGCGGTTCAGGTGAGAATGCACCTTGGTGAAAGAAATAAGAATAAAATCTAGCCTTTGGATCTCATGCATTGTGCGGCTCAGATTGCATCCTGCACTCAGATTTTGAGATAGTGCATTTTTAAAGGATTTTGGTGCATTTTGACATGATGCATTTTTAAATCATTTTGGTGCACCTATTTTGATGCAATCCTAACCCTCAGATCTCACAATCTAAAGCACCAGATTCATTCTTATTTCTTTCATAAGATTGCATTCTCACCTGAACCAAAATCTATATATATATATATATATATATATATATATATATATATATATATATATATATATATATATATCTTACATCTTACATATCTTATAAATGTGTACAATGGTTAGGTACCCTTAAAATAATGTGTAGTTTTTCCGTCCAAAATACTTGTACCCCTTGGTTCTTTCGTTGTACGAAGCTTTTCTTATCACATATCTTATAATAAATATAAATATCTTATAAATGTGTACGAAGCTTTTCTTATCACAAACTACCCTTACGCCGTTATTTCAAGCGTTACTCGCTGGAAATTTCTTCCTCTTGCCCAGCATCCTACCTTCCCGATGAAATGGGCGTAATTGCCGTCAGTCCCTCAGCAAAGGATTATGATTCTTGTGCGATTGGAACTGCCAGCATAATCATCCCTGGATTTTCTCCCCAAATTATTCGACCCTTACTGTGATCCGCGTTCAGGGCGATGCTTCAGCAATCCATCGTAATCCAACGCCGATTTCCCCAGAATTGCCAGCGAATCTTCAACAAACCATCCCAATGAAACGGTAATTTCCCTGCAGGATTCAATTTTTTATTGTGGGTTACGATTTTCCTGATTCCTCTTCTTCTATTTAGGGATCCTTGTCTTATTTATCAACGGGCAATTATTTCAGCAATGACGTTGATTTTCAATCACTTGGAAAGGGGTATTTATATTGATTTTTGGGATATGGGATGAGGCACCATCTCCAGGTTTTCTCCTAGGTCTGATTATATGAGTTATTTTCTTGTTCTTGGCTTTGTTCTTTGTTTCTATTATTGCAACTTAACAATAATTTTATTTTACATGTAAAGGTACGCGTCTACCTCTAAGACCTTGGAACATCATTCTTTAGGTAATTTTAATACAATGCATTCATTGAAAGCACAGGCTTTTATATATCATGTCTTTTTGTTTTGTATTCTGCAGCTTTGTTTCCATATGTTTATTATGTTATTATGTGTTGTTTCTGAAGCTTTTAATTCAATCTCTCCCTTATTCTTTTCTTCCACCACGACTAGCATCTGTGAACAATCCCTCCCTCCATT